GTTCATAGTTGCTGAAAAATTACATCAACTGTGGCAGTGACATATCTCCCACAAGGGGCCATATCTCTTGATTTTCATGATATTATAACATGGTGCAAGAGGCAAACGTTAACTAGACATGTACATTTTTCGTTGAAACTGATTTGGGCCCAAGCGAGCCCCATTTGGCTAGTGAAAAGCACCAAGCAACAGCCGTAACGTTTGCTGAAAATTCTATGTGTCATCGCCGTCTTACTTACTTATGAATCAACTTAAATCTCAATGAATAAGTTTTGCAAGTTTGGCAAGAAAAAGGGTTCTTTAATTTCCTTAAAATTTACAATTCATTCTCAACCATTTATTCTACTCTATTTCGTTCATTCTCCATTCATTCTTTCCATTGACGATGTTCCATTAAATTCTAACTAAGCCAAAGAACATAACACTAAGCCCACTTACTTGCTCACGGTGCTCCCCACTTCCTTCATGCAGTTGCCTTCGTCCTAGAGGCCTCTTTACAGCGATAGCACTCCCACGGCTATGGTGCAGGCACGCGCACGGCGATAGGTATAGGGCACTATTTAAAGACGCGGGGTAGGTGAGGGTTGGTGGGCGTTGGTGAAGCTTATTGTGGCTGACGTCGCGATAGGTTGGGCAAAAAACTGTAGCGGGCGTCAGCCGTGCGGCGTGTTTCTGACAAAAGCGGTGTGGCGCTGACCTTGTCGGCCATTGTCCAATGCTTAACAAGCACCGCGATAGCCTCCTCTTACGCTCGCGGCGATATCCTGCCTCTCTCCCTCTTCTCTCTGCTACGTCCTTAATCCAAGCGGCGGTAAGCTCGCGGCGACGCTCCAGTCGACGATACCTTGTTTCACGCGCGTTGTTAATCTCCTTTACGCGTGGCGATGCTTCTTACGCCTTTCGCGCGCTGCGATACTCTTCAATCGCACGCGGCATTACCATTCTTCACCCTTGCGTGCGGCGATAGCTTCCATGCTAGGTCCAAATACTCAGACGGCGCTAACCTTTGCTCTTAGCACCGATCGGGCGCTTCCGTCTTCTCGACTCCCTTCTCTCTCTACTATCGCAAGTGGTATGGTGCAATCGAATTGCGGTCCTTACATCCATGTGAGAAATTATACGTCTTTAAAAAATTAAATCCAAAAATCCACCTCAAAAATAAATTTTTAAGAGGTGACTCATTTTTACAAGATTTTTAAGAGGTGACTCACTTCTACATGGACTCATAGAAACCGTGTCCTTCGTAGAATGTAATTATATATGGGACAGAACCGTGGACGTCCTACCATTAGTGTTTCATGAAATTAAGAAGGCCACTTCCACTATGGAGAATGTTTTTCCATTCGAGCATTGGAACTAGAGAAGGTGCAAAAGATAGCCAGAAAAAGGAGTTGCTAGGCTCAGTTTTGTAGTGAGTGAGACTCAATTCTATATCAATAGAAGGAGTTTTTTACTTAATTTTTAACTACATGAAATCTCTAACATGGAGATCATGAAAAAAAACAAAAAATCGATATCAATTTTTATAGGAAAACGGTTTTTATAAGGTCAATTTTTATAGGAAAACGGTTTATATAAGGTTGCAACTCTATACTATTGAAATAAGGTGCACTTCAAAAAACATATAGAAAATAGTGTTACGATGTTGGTGATCCCTCCAATTGATCATCTCGATCTGGAGATGTATAAACATAAAGCAGAAAAGAATTCCAAGTCCAGACAATATTGCATCTTGTTGCAAGTTATCTAAAATATCTATTTTTAAGATTTTCAATTGTTTATTAATTTTCCCAATCTTTATTATTTTTTAATTTTAAATTTAATCACTAGGGATAAAAATAGATTTTCAAGCCATCATAAAGTTTACTTCTACCGTATAAGAACGGAAACTTATATAAACCTTACGCATTTTAATGTAGCAATGAAATTTAAAGTTACCAATCAAACATTAGACTTGCTCGCATATACATTATAAACTTCAAATTAGTAATATTATTGGAACGGAAAAGTTCGTGAGGTATGAACCTTGTACCATAAAAGTAAGGCCACCTCAAAAATTCCTCATAAAATATTATTTCACATTGGAAAGTCCTCCAATTGGTCATCGGGACCTCGAGATGTATATCAATTGCTATAAACAAATTTTTTTTTTTTGGTGTAAATCAGTGGGGATGATGAGGCCCTACCTGTTTTTTTTTTAGTTTATTTACTACCATCAAATTGCTATAAACATTTGATGTATAATATAAAAAAGCCTCAAAGACAATACATATTTAAAAATCACTAGGAACTCGGTGCCCGCAATTTTTCGAAGAATTTTCCAAATGTTTCATTAAATGCATTATTGAGAAAGCCCATGTGATTTTTGCAAATGGTCTTTAATAATTCTTTTGTTGGGCATTTCTTCCGGTTCAACTGGGACCTTTTCCCAGCATGCCGTGCCTTTGGGCCTTTTATCATTAAATGGTCAACGTACATAAATTCAATGATCTTTGCCATATTGAATCAATCAATCGACCCTCAAATTTTCATTGAGGTGTCACCTAAAGACAAAGGAACATGAAAATATGTGCCAGTCCCCTAATTGAAAAAATATCTGTAGTACCCGTATTCATTGTCATATAGCTTTCTATGGTCCGGTCTAATATGTTTCACACAAGTAGGGCCACCTAATGAAATACAACAAATAAAAAAAAAGAGAAAAAGATATTAGTATTTAGTACTAGTCTAACAAGCTTCTTTGATATAGAAAAAGTGAGGAACATGATTCATGTAGTCGACCCTAATTAATTGGGTCAAAATTTGAATGATGTTGATAACCAGTCTAACAAGTTAGCTCCGCTTATTTGAACTAAGTGGGATAATTTGATGCATTTTGTAGGTCCAAAGTGCAGCTCTTTGTTTCTTGGCATTGGTGCTAAGTCATAATGAGGGTTATTACCATAAATTTCGAGGCAAGGGATGTAAATTTTGAAGGATGCAATTTTTATAAGGCTTGTGCTTTATAAAAGACAAAGTCTCACATCGAATCATTGTTCAGTAAGCACTTTGGGCATCAGATATCTCCATGATGGCTCTAAAATTAATTTTCAACACCAACTGTGAAATTTGAGTTAAAAAAATGATACAAATCTTACAGATATTCGAGCACTTATTTTTAGGGCAAATAAACGGTCTAGATAACGTGTTACAATATATAGTATTTTTAGGGCTTGAAAGCCTTTTTCTTTTCTTTTTTTTATAGCCATCATAATCAAGGCTAACATGATCAAGTTGAAGGATTTTAGCGCCAAATTACAATTTTCAATAAGCTTTGAGGGGAGGATTTACTTTTTTTGATAGGGCTGTATCCCTATCAAATAATTTAACAAATTTAAAAGCTAGGGTCACATAGGGGTGTTTCCAATAATTTTGGTGGAAATTGGGGTTATATGCAAAAGAATGAATAGCAAAGGAAGTCCTCTTGTTAGACGCCGACAGACGATCACATGGTGGGTTCACGCCTTGCATGTGGGAATGAAACTCCTCATATAATATTCCTACTAATAAGATTGCTATTATTTCTATTAGAAGGCTTTCAAACAAAAACCTGGTTGATAAATCATAATTATAATAGTAATTAAGATTTGACCCACTACCAAATTTTTGGAGAGTCCAAACATCTAACATTCAAGAAAAAGCCTTCGAATTTCAAATATGATTATTACGCCTTTGTATGTCATTTAATGGGAAAGCGGCTGGGGTTGTGACGGTAGCATCGCGGCACTCTAGTCACCACGTTATAGTTTTCACTCTCACTAACACTATTCCACTTAATTCAAAAAAACTAATTTCTAAAATATTCGAAAAAACAAGTAAAGATATGTCTTCCCCACTGAAATACCATGTAATGAGTTTTTTTGCCAAGTTCAAGACCAAAGTTCGACCGGTTGTGTTTCGACACAACATTGAAATTTGAGCCATGTTCAATACTCAATATGAAAATTCTAGAATTCTCAATATTTTGATAGAATTTTTCAAGAGAAATTGAATCTTAATATCAAGAGGTCTAGATTTATGAGCCTATGCAGTGTGCCCCTAACGAATAAGTATAGACATATACTTGGCAATGCATCAACCGTCCATTGTTGAAATGCACATTGGAGATGAAATCTTGATATGGAAGTTTGTCTATCATGTCCGAGCTATGATCTATACATGCCATTGTTTTGATAACAAACGATTTGTATTTTTTAAGATAAAGAGATCATAATCATTCTTAGTTATTAGATGTGAATTCAAGCTTTTCAAGATGTGCCACTACTGGTTTCAAAGTTGTTTTTTTTTTCCGCATCCACACATGTTTGTACAATAGTGCCTTTCCATATTGTACTATTTTGTAATGTACTATAAAATACGAGTAACTATGGTACATGGTATCCTAACAGTTCATTTCCGAAAGAAGTGGTTGAAGATGACAGTGGTTGGCCAGGCCGGTGTCCGGTGGCTGGTCACGGTATAATTTATCATGGAACTATCATTTTGCAATCGTCCATTTTAAGAAATGACGGCTAAGATGCAGGATGACATGCAGATTAACGTGATGCATTGCATGCCCTGTGAGGAGGTCAATTTGGATATTTCTGTCAAGTCCTTGGAAATTCCTTTTTTAAAAATTTTTTATTTTTTCCTGCTGAAAATAACAAACCGTCGCCCTCGTCCTTGTTATATTGGCGTCAGGAGAACATGGGAGATGAACACATGCTCCCCTGAGCAATGCCAACAATCCCTCCAACCCCTTAAACAATCTCTCTCTCTTCCTCTTTCTCTCTCTAAATCAAAGCAACCCGCATGACTCTCTCTCTCCTTTCTCTCTCTAAAACAAAGCACAAAACGTCTCTCTCTTCCTCTTTCTCTCTCTAAAACAAAGCAACCAACATGACTCTCTCTTTGTGGCCTGTAATGTGAAGCAGATAATGAAGAAGAAGAAAATGGCAGAAGCGTAAAACCACAAAATCCTCTTACCATCAAGAAGTGTACTTCTCTCTTGAATTAATGAATGAATAGTTACAAGAATATACACATTACACAGTCTGTTTCTCTCCAGAGGACACAGGACACAAATCACTTGTGTCTCAAAGGACGGCAAGCACAGTTGCCGGTCTTATTGCTCCGTATCGAACACGGGACGACTCCGAATCGCTTCGCTTGCCATCTCCACAGGTCCTCGGAGAACAATAAACCCTCACCGGAAAAACAAAATTCCGGAACCCCTCCCCCCCATAAGAAGGGAAATCTCTCACCCAACAGACTTTTCCACAAGGCCATGGAGCAAGGGCATAGAAGACTCCTTCCAGAGCCCATTTCCACACCCCTTGCCCTTGCCCCCGATAATTAGCAAAATCTCCTCGAACACCCTTTCGTCGCAGGGCAGAGACAGGGGCCCCTGCTGCTCGTACCCATACTCCTCCTCCGCCTCCCGCAGAAGCCTCTGAAAGGCGGGGTGGTTCAGGTGGGTCGCGCGTACCACGAACCTCTTCGACCCCACCTGCACAGCCAGGTGGCCGGCTGGCACATCCGCCGGGATGCCACCCGAAAACACTCCAGAAAATCCACTCGGAAAAGCCGAGACTCTCGCAGCCTCGGCGGCTTTGCGGCGCCACCGCCGGAGCATCTGACGCAGGTGCACTATGTGGCGGATCTTGTTGCATCTGCTGAAGCTCGTCATTGGAAGAGAAAGAGATGGAGGGTTCTGTAAAAAACAGACGAGAAGGGAGTCCTAGAGAGATACAACCGTAGAGAAGGGAGTCCTAGAGATAGAGAGGGAGGGGAGGATTATGGATGTTGGGGGGTAGGCGTATATATATAGGGGAGGGGTTTTGGTTGGATTACAATGAGATAATGGGACACCGACCACATGCACAGGGGGCCAATGATAACATAACCGGGTTATGTCCCATTTTTATCCCTGCGGACTATGGTAAAGACTATGTGTAAGACATTCAAAACGGTTCGAAAGGTGACCACCCAAATTCCTAATAAATCTTCAATTCTCATTGTAAACTGTAAACCAGTGTTATCGGAATCGAACCTGTAAACCAGTGTTATCGGAATCGAACCCGTACTTCCATCTTTAAAATAGACTAAATTTGAAAAATAAGAAAAGTATTAGGTAAAACAATTTTAAGCTTGGTTAAAGATAGGATATTTTTCAAAAATCCAACCTGTGTAAAAAATATCAAACATTGGATTTTAAAAAATAGTACATGATTTTAGTCCCAAATTCATCTAACCTGTGACATCAATATCCATAAATTATTATTGCAAAGAAAATATCAAGAATGTATGGAAACAAAAAAAGCATTAAAAAAATGAAGCCTAGAACAGCATGCCAAAATGCTAACTAAGAAAAATTACTACTTTTAACCATTAAGGGTGACTTTTTTTTTTTGCCACAATCTTGAGATTTTATGTATTAAAGGCTCGGTAAAAAATATCATGTGCAATCAAATAGCAAAAAAAAAAGAGGGAAAAATCATGCCAAGAAATAGCAAGGGCAGTGAGTGAAAGATTGAGCCGGTTAATCAATTCATCCAAGAGAACTGACGAGATTGGCAGTCAAACCATTTCATCCGGTCAACCATCGTTTTTGAGCGGTTCTCAACAAAATACTAGTTATGGGCTCATGCTGGACCAAATAAGGGTCTAGTCATTGGTTCTACCTCTCAAACCACCGGTTCGGTTCAATCTTGATAACTACATTATAAGCTAGACAACATAAAATATAATCATTTCTTAATAACTTTTTTCCTCGCAAAATTAGCAATGAAATCCTCATAATAGTTTGAGGAGTGAAAAGCACATAGTTTATGAGGAGTTAAAAACTTTCCCTAACAAGGAATTCCTTGCGTTTTCTTTTGGATTAGGATCATTCTTGGAAAATTGAACCTAGCTTTCTATATTTGGAAATTGAATTATTACCACATTTTTAAATAAATTAAATTAATATGAGATTATGGTTAAAAATTAAAGAAATGAATGGTTGGAGAGGTGAGTAGCTTATGGGGAAGGTGGTTGGGACTTGAGAGATGCTGAGAAGAAAAAAAAGTGAGCGAGAAGCCCACCCATGTGCGCTTGTCTTCTTTACCAAATTCCCATTTTGCCCTTTGCCCGAAAACCGCCGATTTCCCCTCCTCTACAAGCTCTCGCGGGTGTGGGCTGAGGCCCACAAATGTCGGATGTACCCCTAGGAAAATAACTGTAACCTTAAACCGGCTATCCCGGGTGGCAAGTGCGCATTTACCCTTCAGAAGAAGGATAATGTCGGAAATACCTCTCTGCCTCAAAACCAGATATCTTTGATATAAGGTATTCATAGTCTTGGGCTACTGGTTGTATACGGATGCATTTGTAAGTAGCGGTAAAGTACACCTTCAAATTTTATCATGGTATATAATTTTGATGTAAAATATTTTTAGGATTATTTTAAAATTTATTTTTATATCTAATTATAAAATTTTAAATTTAAAAAATAGTTAAAATCAAATAGATCTATAAACATATGAAAATCTTAAAAATGGATGGTGCAGATAATATGTTGTAAAATGCATTATTTTTGAGATTTTTTCATTTTTCATAGTCATGCATCTCGATGTCGAGATGATCAATCAAAGGGTTTTTCAACATTAAAACTACATTTTTCGATCAATTTTTTAGGGTCATCCGTAGTCTTACATTATAAGGTAGCATCCTTATATAATTTTTTTCTTTGGTCTTGTGTATTGGATGTGAAATTAGATAGTTGCATTTATTCCAATGACCAAGCTTAAACTTCAAAAGAAATTTTTTCAAATTTTGTGGCACAACCAATATTTAAAAATCGGATCGGTGACCCAAATCGTCCTCACCCATACCTGTGTCGGATTGGTAGATCGGATCGAAAAATCGGCCAAATAGAAATAGTGACAATTGCGTTATATTTTTTTATTATTGTGTAAAAAATATGTAAATATTGATAATTTGTTTCATGTCGAGTGTTTATTGTCTATAAAAATTATTTTGTAATAAAAATAAGTATAAAAATGTAACATAACAATAAAATGAATATCTCTAACTCAATTTATTTATTTTATTATAATATTAACTTAAGAGTTTTGATTTTTGAAAAATAATATATAGAATAAATTTAATGCAATTAATTAGTTAGAATATCTCAAAATATGGTGAGATGTGGTACTCCAAATTGCTTTGGAAATGGGGGCGCACCTAAATGAATGGCGTAGAAATGTTTTTAAAAAATATGTTTAAAATTTAAAATTATTATTTTATTTATTATATTAAAAATAATCTCGTAAATCAATAATCTCTGAAAAAAAATTAATTCTTTAAGATGGATTTTGTAGAAGGGCTGGTTATGTACGTGAGGATAGATTTTGGACAAAGAGCATAGCGCTTGTTCTCAATTGAGTGTGGGGGCGTATATGAAATTTTTGAGAAGCAGAGGGGCATTTTCGGGTCACGTGGGCACACAGTTCTCGACAAACCACTTGGTGCCACGCTCCAAATGCTTATATGTAATGACGTGGCACATCACCTCGGTCTAGGACCTCGGAGCTGACGAGGCGTACCGTTACTGGGCCCATAACACATGATGACGTGGTGCGCTTCTATTCGTTCTCGGCTGCACCTACGGAACCCAATGAGGTCGGATCCACGTGCACTAAGAAAAGCGGCTTTTACTCTTAGGGGATGCCGTCCAGGTTCGACGCCGCGTAGTTGTACACCACAAAGCCCTAGCCGTAGTGTACGGCCCGGCCTTCTCCATAGATCGGCGATTAATTGAACGATTTGATAACCTTTTCTCAAGTCGAAATTAGAGGCTCTAATTTGATTGTTTAGAGCATAGGCTCTATACAAATCGTACTTTTTATTTATTTTTATTAATATAAATAAAAAATCCCAGGAATTTAACCAAATTAAAAATATAGAAACTGTAACTAAAATTTATGCATGAGACGGTCCAGAAAGTTCTAATCTCCACATTTATTAAGATGATATCGAATTGGTGGTCTAACATGTTGATATCATGTCTAGTCTAATCTAAAGTTTTTTAATACTGAAACAATATATTTAGCCCTATTTGTGGGTGCATCTTACTTTAATTGTATAGGGCCTCGGCCTTATACAAACCACGCCCATAATATATTTTATATTTTAAGATATTTTAATTGAGTATTTCAAATATCTAGTTTCAATTTTTGATGGAGCCATGCCCTTAACTACTTAACTACTTTGCGGGTTACTCCAATCCTCGTAACACATCTAATTTCTAGGAAAATTCTTTGAACATGGTTCAAAATTCTATCAATTTTAAGGAAATTCCTGCCAAATGTGCATCATTAGAGGCCTAAAAAGAAAAAATTTCTCTCAAAACATTGACAAAGTTTCACTCAAGTTTTAATGAAATTTAAGTCAATTGTTTCCAAATATTGCGTGTCAGTGCAACTATCTGTTATAAAAAAAAAGGAAAATTTATCAATAAACCCTTTTTTTTTTTGTAAAAATAAAAAAAGCTTACGTATAGCACCTCAGTATACGTAAACCCACTACCCAACCTTCCAATCTAAATAAATGGCTAGAATTACTCAGGTCACATGAAAATACTATTTGGTTTTTTATTCTTTTACCCAACATCTTTTAAGTGAAATTTGTGGTGTCCCCACTTCTTGTTGTAGCTCACCCAGAGAAAAAATAATAATAATGATGAAATAAATCACCGAAACACCTAGGGAAGTCATAGGGGTATTGTGGTATTTTTCGACCAATTTGTTATTTTTACCATGTGCACCACTGTGCACATGCCCTAAATTCGCTGCAAAATGATTTGTACAATAAAAGTAAAGAGCAAAATACTCTAGGAGTGGGACCCGATTGGACTTGGGATCCGATGGGTATAACTGACTTTGGTTTTGGGTCTATGAGGATCCAACTTGTGCCTATAGTCAAAGAGTATCTGATGGCAATCATGTCTTTAAATGTGTGGTATTTATATTGTCACAATATTGATAAAATTTACAATATTATTGACAAAAACAAGAAAAAGTTAATAATCATAGGGTATATGATGTTAAATAAAAGGTCAAATAATAAAAAATAATCGTTGTGGCAATAGATCTAACTAAACCCAGGACCGGATAAGTAGACCCGAGACCCGACGACTCTCGGTGCGAATCCAAATTTTGAACACAAATATTATTCGAGATTAGATCCGAATTCAGTCGGATTCGACCCGTTGCCACCATTACTCTGAGCCGTCATATAAAGATACGGAGAACTTATGACATTATGACTCCAGTCATTCCACCATGCTCCAATAGGACGAGTGAGAGAGGGGTCATATATACTTTAACATTTAGGTGGCGCCACATGCAAAGCTTCCTCTTTGAAAAGGGATAGTCTCATATCTATCTTACAACCAAATCCCATCTTTTTAAAATAAGAAAATATTTCTTTTTATATATATTAGATTAAATTCAAATCAAGTATGTTCATACTTCTCACCGTCCTATATCTCTAAAATAATATTAAAAAATAATTTTAAATAAATAAATTACCATAATACCTATATATAACGAGGGTAGTTTGGTGGTTATATATATTTTATACTATTTTAAATATTTTTGTATGTTTATAATGGTGAGAAGTATGAACAAACAAAATTGGAACTTAACCTACTTTAAAAAAAGACATAAAATTAAAGAAAAAGTTTATATAAAGTTGCAACTGTAGAATTAATGAGGCACCTCAAAAATCCATCAGAGAAGGTTGTTTTAGTGTTGAAAAACCCTCTAATTGATCATCTCGACATCGAGATGTATGAATATGAAAAAAAAAAAGATTTTGAGTCTCAGAAATAGTGT